CTTTCGTTAACTGCAAAATAATACTGAAGTCTGCACATGGTGCCTATCACATATGTCTATTACGTAGTCTCCCATATTCTTTCTCTCTCTCTCTCTCTCTCTCTCTCTCTCTCTCTCTCTCTCTCTCTCTCGCACATACGCTCCCAAATAATCAGGCGCACGATCCTCATTCGCGCACACACCATTTTTCTGTGTCTTCCCTCGCTTTCTTTCGTTTCTCTCTTTCTTTCTTTAATCGTTACATACAATTACAACTTGTATCCCGGGGGAGAAAAACAGAGGATACGTCCTCTTTTCCCCTGTCTCACTATATCGCTCCTCGTATCGCACGCATTCCCTAGACTTCTCTCACTAGCGCTCCATCGTAGCTTACTCTCTCGCTCGCTCGCTCGCTCGCTCGTCTTCTCCTCGACAGAGTGGATAAAAAATTGTTAAAACCATTTTCGACGTGGTCGCACCGCTTCGAACGTCTCTCTCTCTCTCTCTCTCTCTCTCTTTTCTACATTGTTCGACCATTGCCGTTATTATTTCTCCGTAGACTAAAATTCGCACTTCTCGACTAAGAAAAAAAGAAACAAACGCGAACGATTGTTTTTTTGGTCGAAATTGTCTTTCTTCTCGTTTGACCCCGGAGTAAAATTCAAAGTGAAGAATAAAAGGAAGGACTTTAAAATCGTTTAACGAGCGCTAATCTCGTGAGAAAAAGCTATTGTCGATTATTTGTTTGCTTTTCGTTTTTCTGTTCTTTCGTAAAGTAAACGAGTAAAATAAATAAAAAAATTAGCGTAGTTATTGTACAGATTGTTCGTATATGAATGTACGAGGCTGTGTGTGCGCAGTATAACCCGTCGAAGCAGTTATAAACTCTTTTGAAACACCCTGCATCTATACATATACATACATACATATATATACGTATACATATGAATTGTATATATACATACATATACATACATAGTGTTAGTAATCAATAATAATATCAGTTTGTATTGTACAGGCTATTTCTTTTGGGGCCGAAAGCCTGTGGTTTCTCTAATATTTACTTAACCCCCAATCCTTTTTTGAACCCATACGCTTTCTCTCCCGTCATTACAATCTACTTAAGTTATCCTTTTTAATAATATATTTAATCTCGCTTTCGCTAGGTGTAGCAAGGTGTGACATATTAACGGCGTTTAAAACCCCGTCACTCTCTGCCTATTCCTCGCCACGCTCTTTCTTTTTGTTATTTTTCATTTTTTTGTTATTTTCTTAAGATTCATTAACGAAATAATCATCGTAAATGTATTATTATAGCTTTACGTTAACTTTTCTTCTTCTTTTACCGTTACTTTTACAGTTTAATATGTTAGCTCTCTTTTTTTTTTTTTTTTCTCTTTATCTATCGTAGATTTGTCTGTGGCTATCCCTGATGTGTTAGTTACCCTGCGCTTCCGTCTGGTTGTTGAAATATTGTTTGCGAAAATTGTGGTCTACGATTAAAAATTTCCCCATCATTCCGTGTGTTCCTTCCTCCACCTACTACCGCTCGTCCTTCTCCCTTCCCTTTAAATTACGAATTTTGCTTCCTCTTTGCGCGCCTCTCGTTCTTTTCCTCTCTCCCCCGTTCCTTCCACTTTTCTGTTTGTCCGTTTGTCCCCGTTTTATTTCGCGTTCCACGTGTTCGCGTCGCCGAGCAAGATGATTATCAACGTTCCGGAGCTCGCCAAGATTGCCAATATTAACGGATTCATCGTACGAGAAAAGACACTCTGAGCAAGCCGTTCATCCCTCTTCAATTAACGCGCTCCTCTCGCTCTCCGCCGCCGGATACCAACGAGTCACGCGGCTGTCCGCGCGAAACGACGACGCCCGGCGCTTGACAAATGTATCCGCGCGGTATAAAATAAAAAGAAACATGGAGAGAAACGGAACGACGAGTATCAGCGGACAGGGCGAAGCGTTCCAAACGATCGAGAAACAACAGTGTTTACAATATTTACACGGTTATTGCACCTAATCCCCCTGGAGTAACTCATATACCAGGTCAACTTGTAGCCATGATACTTAAAACGGGACAAGAGGGAAAAAGAGAGAATCTTGGCAAGCTCACGCCACCCTGTCTGTCTGTCTGTCTGTCTGTGTGTGTGT